AGACACACACACACACACACACATTCACAGACACACACACACACACATTCACAGACACACACACACACTCACAGACACACACACACACACACACATTCACAGACACACACACACAGACACACACTCTCTCTCACACACACAGACACACACTCACTCACTCACACACACACACACACACACACACTCACTCACACAGACACACACTCACTCACAGACACACACACACACACACACACACTCTCTCACTCACACACACACACACAAAGACACGTACTCACACAGACACACACACACAAACACTTACACACACACACACATACACACTCTCTCACACACACACACACAGACACACACACAGTTTCCATACCTTAGCAGCAGCCGGAGGTGTTCCTGGTCGCCAATGACATCATACTTGACAGAGAACACCAAATGGCCGAGTACACTGTCGATGCAGTAATAATTAAAATGTTCCTGGTTTGAAAAGGACAAACATGGCATTAAATATTCATAAGGAGATTGATGTCACATTCCAAATGAACTGCACTGATCAGCATGAGTCTGTATACATCAGCTGGAACCAGTCTGCACATTATTCAAATTTCTCAGATCAAAAGACACAGAAGTAGGCCATTCAGCCCATCGAGTCTACTCTGCCAATTATTGAGATCATGGTTGATCTGGTAATCCTCAACTCCACCTTCCTGCCGTATCCCCATGACCCTTCATTCCCTTACTGATTAAAAAGCTGTCTATCTTAGCCTTGAATATACTTTATGACCCAGCCTCAACAGCCCCCTGTGGTAAAGAATTCCAAGGATTCACTAGCCTCAGAGAAGAAATTCCTCCTCATCTCTATCTTAAATGTGTGATCCCTTACTCTGAGATGATGCCCTCTGGTCCTAGACTCCCACAAGGGGAAACAACATCTACACATCCCCATTAACAACTACTCACCCTCCCAGCTTGATTGTTAGCAACTCCTTTGTCTGTCCAACTCCTTTGTCTTTCTCTCTCTTTAGTCTCTATCCTATCGTTTACTCCCTGCCCCACCCACCTCCTTATTTTCTGCATCTAAACTGATGTTTTCCCAGCCACCATCAGTTCTGAGGAAGGGTCACCGGACCCGAAACGTTAACTCTGTTTTCTCCTTCACAGATGCTGCCAGACCTGCTGAGCTTTTCCAGCAACTTTGTTTTTGTTCCTGATTTACAGCCTCCGCAGTTCTTTTGGTTTTTATCTCCACACCTTACATGCTTTCATTTCCAAATTCACAGAGCTGCCTCTTCCTGTTACACATCACTGAAAGCACAGAGTGCATTTGCCAATTTAGTGGGACTGCTTTAATAGAAGTGAAACTGGGAGACAGGTGGCAATGAAAATAAATCATTCTGCTCCTATGATGCTGCTTGGCCTGCTGTGTTCATCTAGCCCTGCACCTTGTTGTCTCGGATTCTCCAGCATCTGCAGTTCCTACTATCTCTCTTACACCATTTCCTTTGTGTTTGCAACCCTTATGTGGTAGTTAGGAATGGAGACCATGAGTTCCATTATGTACATTAAAACCTGACTGATTAAATTTCAACTCCCCCTCCCATTCCTCAGATGACATGTCCATCCTGGGCCTCCTGCAGTGCCACAACGATGCCACCCGAAGGTTGCAGGAACAGCAACTCATATGCCGCTTGGGAACCCTGCAGCCCAATGGTATCAATGTGGATTTCACAAGCTTCAAAATCTCCTCTCCCCCTACCGCATCCCAAAACCAGCCCAGCTCGTCCCCGCCTCCCTAACCTGTTCTTCCTCCCACCTATCCCCTCCTCCCACCTCAAGCCGCACCCCCATTTCCTACCTACTAACCTCATCCTGCCCCCTTGACCTGTCCGTCCTCCCTAGACTGACCTATCTCCTCCCTACCTCCCCACCTATACTCACCTTTACTGGCTCCATCCCCGCCTCTTTGACCTGTCTGTCTCCTCTCCACCTATCTTCTCCTCTATCCATCTTCTATCCACCTCCCCCTCTCTCCCTATTTATTTCAGAACCCCCTTCCCCTCCCCCATTTCTGATGAAGGGTCTAGGCCCGAAACGTCAGCCTTCCTGTTCCTCTGATGCTGCTTGGCCTGCTGTGTTCATCCAGCTCTACACCTTGTTATCTCAGATTTTCCAGCATCTGCAGTTCCTACTATCTCTGATTAAAATGAGGCATCTCTGAGGACATGAAGTAAATAGCAGGACTGATGCTCTGGATTGTGACACCACTAGAATTTCCTTCAATGTCGTATTTCTGTCATTTTAGAATACACTTTGAACTTTTGTTTTTGTAGAAGACTTTATATATTTACAGGAAAAGAATTCTTCCACATGTTACAACTCGATCACTTTTTCCATACCTTTCCCAAGAACTGTTTCCTGTAGAGTTTGGCGATGGTGTTACATTCCAGTTTGAGTTTGGATGCAGGAGATGACAGCTGCTCTGTTTCAGGGGGGCTTTTAATTTCATGATTTGTTCCCTCGATCCAGTAACCTCCAAACTGAGGGAGCAGGATAATAGGATAAGGAGTCTCACGTTGGAGGACCTAAAATAGAGACCAGAGATTTCAACCAACATCCTCCCCTCAAGGAGTGGAAAGCCAAGGGAACAGATCTTAAACACTACTAGAACCAAACATCTGGACTGATAGGCAGGAATATAGTATGGCATTACATACGAGCTACAAGACAGAATTTGGGTGGAGATTCGCAATTCAGATACCCTGACATTGAAAAGAGATGCAAAGATATGTGAATTGAATGGTGGTGATTGGCAATAACAAACGTGGGTCTTAAAACTCTTAAAAATTGAAGGAGTGTGGGAAGCAGGAGAGACAGTGCGAGTGAGTTTTCATTTCAACAGCACAAACATTAAGCAGCATGTTCAATGTACAGTGCCATAGTTACAACATGAAAGGAAGATCCTAAATAACAGTTACTCATATAGGTGAACCCTGAGCTGGGATGCTCCTTGGAACATGTTGCTTCCTTAAAGGTTTTATATTAACAATGCTACCAATAAGACAGGGAGACCAGAAAAGTTGTGGATGAGAAAATGAATTTGGAGAATAGAGATGAGAGAAGTAATTTTTCGGAGAATTTCATTTGCTTCCTCCGATTTCATCGAGTAACATCAGAGGAACCTCCAGATAAACAGCAGAACCATTTTTTTTTGGCAGTCACAACTGTTTTCTCAGGGGGTTACCAAGTCTTTCACAAAGTTGTTATGACAGGAGACTAGAAAACATTGTTCTTTAAAAAACCCGGACTGACTAAAACCAGCCACCTTCAGAAGTGAGAAGGTGACCATGTGTACACTGTGGATGACTATCTCTAGAACTTCCTTCAATGGGGTCTGTCTGAAATGGTTGATTTTGACAATAACAAAGTTAAAACGTTCAACTTATTATGACTAGAATTTTATAAATATATAGATCCTCCAGAATGTTTTTCAATTGATGCTTTTCCATAAAATAAGAAAATTTGCCAGTGCAAATCACTTGATTAAATGTATGCAAGTTAATATGTGTTCAAGGATAAATTGAACAAACTTATGTTCTATGTAACTATATCTGTGTTGCCTTAAGCTGTTTACCCCAACATTAACATTTCCAATTCAACATGACCCTCCTTCAGAACAATAATATTCAAAATGAAGCATTTACCCTCTCTCTGTCCCCTATACATGACCTGCAATTTCCAGCACTTCCAATTTGTCTTTCAGATTTCCATCAACTGCAATATTTTGCTTTTGCTCTGGAAGACCAACAAGTTTCAGGCAAAGAAGCATCTTTCACCGAGTTGATGGTCCTCCAGACGCAGTTGATTTTTGTCTCGGTGTGCAGGTTGGGTGAGTGGGCAAATCAATGGCCGATGTAGTATAACTTGGATAAATGTGAGATTATTCACTTTGGAAGCAAAAACAAGAAGGAAGATTACTACCTGAACGGCTGTAAATTGGGAGAGGGGCATGTGCAGTGGGACCTGGGTGTCCTTGTGCTCCAGTTGCTGAAGGTAAGCATACAGGGGCAGCAGGCGGTAAAGAAGGTAAATGGTATGTTGGCCTTCATTGTGAGAGGCTTTGAGTACAGGAGCAGGGATGTGTTGTTGCAGTTATACAGGGCCTTGGTGAGACCACACCTGGAATATTGTCTGCAGTTTTGGTCTCCTCTTCTGAGGAAGGTTGCTCTTGCTCTCGTGGGAGTGCAGTGAAGGTTTGTCAGACTGACTCTAGGGATGGTGGGCCTGACGTATGAGGAGAGATTGACCAGGTTAGCATTGCTTTCGCTGGAGTTCAGACAAATGGGGGCAGGGGTTGGCCTCATACAGACATAAAATTCTAACAGGACGAGACAGGATAGATGCAGGGAGGATGTTCCCGATGGTGGGTGTGTCCAGAACCAGGGGTCACAGCATGAGGATTTGGAGTGGGCCATTTAGGACAGAGATGTGGAGACATTTCTTCACCCAATGAGTGGTGAGCCTGTGGAATTCATTACCACAGGAAGTAGTTGATGCCAAAATATTGAATGTATTCACGAGGTGACTAGATATAGCACTTGGGGTGAATGGGATCAAAGGTTATGGGGATTAGGCTATTGTGTTGGACGATCAGCCATGATTGTGAAGAATGGTGCAGCAGGCTCAAAGGGCTGAATGGCCTTCTCCTGCTCCTATCTTCTATGTTTCTATGTGTGTCTCAGGGAACAGACTGTACTGCACAGAATCCCACGTCTCAGAGCTGCTTGGGCAAAACTTGACAAAAGCTGTTGCATTTTCATCCAGATTTCCTTTGCAAAGGCACATTCCGGAGGGAAATGTGTGACTGTCTCTTCCGCCCACCACCCCCCCCCCCCCCCCCCCCCCACCCCACAGCTGTTTTGAGGGCAGGGTGCAGTGGCGCAGAGATCCGGGCAGGATCTTACAGGTAATGCCCTTCTCACAACCAGCCAAGCGATGTCCTGGTGCTTGTTGGAAAGTTCTGGTGATGAGGCATTCTGCCAAATGACTTTGACACATCTGCTCAGGGAACCACGCGACAGGATCCAGCCTCTCCTTTTCCCCCAGGGTCTCAAGGATGCTACGTGCTGACCATTGCCTGATGGCCTTGTGGTCAAAGGTGCTTTTCTTTGCAAATTTCTCTACGAGGGACAGGCAGTACGGGACGGTCCAACTACCTAGAACGTTCCACAGCAGCGAGACCAGTCCCATCCTTCACAACACCAGGGACAGGTAGTACCTCGGTACGTAGTGACACTTGGTGTTTGCGTACTGAGCGTCTACGCACAGTCTGATGCAGCCACACACAAAGGTTATAGAATATCACAGTGAGAGCAGCATTGGTTATGTTCTTCCCTCTCTTATCCAGAGTTTTGTACATTGTGTCCCTGCAGATCCAGTCCATCTTAAATCTCCTGAAGAAGTGGTAGATGGCTTGGGTTATTGCAATGGTGCAAGTTTTGGGGAATGGGCCAGACCTGCACACGCACAACAACAGAGAGTGCCTCACACCTGATGGCCAGGTTTTTACCTGGAATGAAGAGGGAACAGTGCTCCCACCTGGCCAGTTTCTGCTTCACCTTGGCAATGAGCTCCTCCAAATCATATTCCCAGCACCTTCTGTCCTGATGATGAAGGGGATAAATGATCAGTCAGCCCAGTTCCCAAGGAACATGGCCTCACTCTTGCCTTGGCTCCCAAGGCCAGTTCAAACTGGTCGCAGATGTTCATGTGTCTGTGCACTGACAGTGGATCGAGCAGAAAACAGCAACGATGTGCATGTACAGGGAGGCTTTGACTTACAGGCCTCCGCTGCCTGGAATAGTCACCCCTCTCAGGCTCACATCCTTCCTGATGGTCTCAGCAAAAGGCTCTATACACTCGACTGAGTGTTGCAGACTGGCACATTCCAAAGCCCAGGACTATGTGCTGAGGGATGCAGTAAAGTTTGGGGCAGCTGTGGCCAAGGCACATTGGAGAAAGACCCACTGACAAGGTCTGACTATCAAAGCACACTGAGGGTTCGTACAGTTAGTGGGCCCTCCCACTGCCTCAAATATATATAAATATAGTCTTGTACACGTAAGAAATGTCTTTGGTTTGTCTGCTGGATAGAGTCAAACTCCAGTGTTTGTTTGTTTCTTCATATGCTGCTACACAGAACTTAACTGCTTTAGGGACTATGTATGTAGATAAAGATATTTTTTATGAATAAAGTATATTTTTGAAATTAAAAAATCTTCATTACTCTGGTTTGCTATCAGCTAAACTGCCTGTTGGCCTAGAAACCGAAGTCAGATTAATTCCAGTAGCCAGCTACCTGCTTTAAGAATCATTAACTGTCACAACACTGAAACAATCCCCCATTGCTCATGCTCCTCTCAGCTTTCTCTCTAAAATCTTTAGCTTTTCCAAACAGCTAACTAATTGGTTTTGAAAAACTAGTTCTGAAATCTGCTTCAACAATGTTTGGTGGCATTGATGTTCATCTTATAAAGCCCTACCTCCTAAAGAATGTTTTGAAACTTCATCTTCGATCACTTTCAAAATTATTTAGAATGTGCACGCCAAAGCCTAAACATCAAATCTCATTATAAAGACAACACCACAATCTTTTATATATACAAAATCAGTTTCACCTCTGTAAACAGTATCACTGAAGTCACACCCATGATGACAGTTCAGTAGATTTAAATTTTAATGAAGATTGAAAGCATTGATTGCAGTGCAGTTTATCATTCTCTTGATGGTGTATTACACACACTGAGATTTAGTACAACCCTTAATGTTCTCATTTCCATTGTGAAGGTTAGAGAATATTAATAGCACTGCAAGATGGCCTTTGGCCCATCAACTCTGTGCTAGTCATCAAGCACCAATCTCATCTAATCACATTTTCCAGCACTTGGCCAATATGATGTTTCAAGTGTTCATCTAAATGTTATGAGGGTTCCTGCCTCTACCACCCTTACAGGCAGGGAGTTCCCAGATACACACAATCCTCTGGATGAAAAGGTTTCCCTCAATTGCCTTCTAAACACCTGCTCGTCACCTTAAAATTGTGCCCCCCGTTAGTAATCCCTTTTCTAATCTATCAACCCCATTTATGCCCCTTGTAATTTTGTAGGCCTCAGTCAGGGCTCCCCTCAGTTTTCTCTGCTTTAAGGAAAACCACTGCAGCCTATTGAGTCTCCCTCATAGCTAAAGCACTCCATCCCAGGCAATATCCTGGGGAATCTCCTCTCCACCCTCTCCAGGTCAATCACCTCCTTCCCTCAGTACAGTGAAATTACCATTCCGTTACTATATAACTTGCGGCCCATTTATCAAGTACAGAACCTCCTTTGATGAATTGTGGTTTAGTCTTTACTGCTGCTGATATCCGGTCTGCCCAAAAAGCAATGGCACAGCCATCAAAAGTGCAGGACCCTCCATCCCCACAGCAGGAGGTTTGACAGCTACAAAGTTCACAAATGAAAACAAATGTTGGTTAATGCAGAGAGAACTGAAAGCAGCAGCTACATGTACAGACAAATATACAGGCATCCAGAGTATCCCAACCAATGTTGATTCGCAACAGAAATTGAGACCTGCTTTACAATATATCAGAGACTTTGTTCAGTACTGCAGCAGCAAGCACCATTATCAGTACATCATCAAAGAAAAAAGTCAGGGTGTCATACCTCATGAACACTAGGGTAAGGGATGTAATCTTCTTCTGTCTGCAATAGAAGACAATGTAAGTTTATTATGTGAACACTGCAGTCTTCGGTTTGATGCTTCAAACAAACTGTTTTGATAACTATTTTCCAGTAAAAGTTCCTCAGGTTGGTTTACTGGTCAATGCTGTAACCAGTCAAGTACTGGACAATCTAAAAGACAAGGAATGTTCCTGGTGTCAGAATGAACTCAGTATATCTCTGTCAGTACATCAGGACACTGAACACTGAACACCTCTGCAGGGAGCATTCAGCCTGCATCACTGTTCCCAAAGGTCACCCAGCAAAGGGTTTGCTTTCAATTATCGCATTACTGTTTGAGATTAATACTGAGGTCATTTATTACTGGCCTGAGAAATTTCAAAAGCAGAACCTGACATCACAATCGCAATTTGAAAATTTGAATTCAATTTAGAAAGCTTGGATCATTTTTCAAAAATTGGTGATTTATGATGTTCTCGCTTCCTGTGTACGTACTTGTGTGAGCGTGTAACTGTGTGTAACTGTGTGCGAGCGTGTAACTGTGTGCACGTGTCTGTGTGTGCAAGCATGTAACTGTGTGTCTGTGTGTAACTGTGTGCGAGCATGTAACTGTGTGCGCGTGTCTGTGTGCGAGCATGTAACTGTGTGCGCGTGTCTGTGTGCGAGGGTGTAACTGTGTGCAAGCGTGTCTGTGTACAAACGTGTAACTGTGTGTGACCATGTAACTGTGTGCTCGTGTCTGTGTGCTCGTGTCTGTGTGTGAGCGTGTAACTGTGTGAGTGTTCCTGTGTGCGAACGTGTAACTGTGTGCGTGTGTAACTGTGTGCGAGTGTCTGTGTGCGACCGTGTAACTGTGTGCATGTGTCTGTGTGTGCGCGTGTAACTGTGTGTGTGTAACTGTGTGTCTGTGTAACTGTGTGCACTCGTGTGTATGTAACTGGCTCTTTGTGTTGTGCGATCAGTTAACAACGACATGTAGCTATATAACTTGAGGGTAGCATTACTTTCTTTAAATTCTTTCAGGTGGGTGTGCCCCCTCACCTCCATCCCAGGCCCCAAACAAACTTTCCACATCAGACAGAGGTTCACCTGCACCTCTGTCAATGTGGTCTATTTTATCTGCTGATCCCAATGTGACCTCCCCTACATCGGTGAGATCAAACTGACGCTCAGAGACCACTTTGTAGAGCACCTGCGCTTTGTTCATGACAAACGACAACACCTTCCAGTCGTGAACCATTTCAACTCCCCCTCCCACTCCCTGGGTGACATGTCCATCCTGGGCCTCCTCCAGTGTCACAATGACACCACACGGAAACTGGAGGAGCAGCACCTCATATTCCGCCTCGGGAGCCTACAGCCCGATGGTGTCAATGTGGACTTTATCCATTTCAAAATCTCCCCATCCCCGGCCTCATCCCATGACCTCAACCCCGCCTCCTTGACCCGACACAACCTGTCCATCTTCTCTCCCACCGATCGGCCCTTCCCCCCTCACTGACTAATCCCCACCACTGCCTACTGCACTCACCTATCACCATCCCACCTACCTTCCCCAGCCCCACCCCTTCTCTCCCTATTTATTCCTGAGCTCCTTTCCCCCTCCCCCATTTCTGAAGAAGGGTCCCAACCCGAAACGTCAGCTTTCCTGCTCCTCTGATGCTGCCTGGCCTGCTGTGTTCCTCCAGCTCCACTCTGTGTTAAATAATTCCAAACCCTAACTACTGTCAGGGAAGCGGTGGTGAGCTGCCTTCTTGAACCACTGCAGCAGGTAGACCAACATTGTCAATGAACCACCCAGCTTACACTCACTGTGAGGTAAGGGTTGGACCTCACTCTCTGAGACAGATTGTTGAGGTCCTCCTGTCTCTAAACCTTGGCAGTGGCTCATGTAGAAGGTTGTGAAACTGTGAAATTTAACCGCACGTCAATCACTCTTAATCATCTTTATGGGACTGGAAATGTGTTAACACTTAAGTTGAAAATTGATTGACCACACATCTGGCAAGAAACAGGAACAGATCGCACATACTTTGAGAGGTGGTGGAAGAGGGCATCTCTGTTCATCCATTCTGCATCCCTAAATGAGAATGAACAAAAACAAAGAAGCTCATGAATTATGCATTAATACCACAGGAATTCAACAATAAGTAAAGATGATGCTGTTCCAGTCCCTGATCTGCAATGCAAACTAGCAACAGCTAGAGAGATATAACGTGATCAATTTCTTTCTAAGACAGGTGATTGGCACAGCGTGCAGCTACCTGGGACTCTCCAGAGCTATATAATGTTGGAGCCCGCCCTCCCCGTGGCTCGTTCACACCTGGGTATTCAGCTGTGCCAGCCACGGAATGCAAGCAACAAGCAGGGATGCTGTCTACTCAGCCTCATACACTTCTGCTGTAGGTCCTGGGATTGAACCCACCAATACTTGACCCAGATGGGCACACAGAACAGGATGTCTGATGACGGATTGGGGCTCAGGGAGCAGGATTTGCTTCCTCTTTTTCCCTTCTCTGCTATCATCTACCTCATCATCACGCTGATGGAGACTGAGTGCTTCTCGAGGATGAGCTGTTGCATTCTGAACGACAAGCTGCCCCAGTCATGAACATCAATGCTGTAACTGTATCCAATAACCCCAGGCCTAAGGATATAAGGTGTATAGTAATAATGGGCATTGTGAGAATGTTATCAAGAGGCAAGGCCAGCCCAGTAACCACCCAGCAATTGAAAAATTCAAGTAGAACAAATCCCTATTGTTCTAATAGAATGTTAGAATGACAGTGGCTGGAGCTCTCCTTCCTGAAACTGGTATTTCCAGGGACAGAATCACCTGCCACACTTCTAGAATCCAGAGAACCCCTACAGTGTGGAAACAGGCCCTTCGGCCCAACAAGTCCACACCAATCCTCAGAGCATCCCACCCAGACCCATTCCCCTATCACCCACCTAACCTACACATCCCTGAACACTATGGGAAATTTAGCATGGCCAATCCACCTGGCCTGCACATCTTTGGACTGTGGGAGGAAACCGGAGCACCCAGAGGACACCCACGCAGACACGGGGAGAATGCGCAAACTCCACACAGACAGTCACCCGAGGGTGGAATCAAACCCCGGCCCCGTGGCGCTGTGAGGCAGCAGTGTTAACCACTGAGCTACCATGCCACCCTGGAGAAATGTTCTGCTTTCATCCCCCTATCAAAGTGGATGATTTCACCCACTGCCACATTGCCATGTCCCATCTGCCATGTTTATACCCAGTCACCAACCTGTCACTAGGCCTCTGCTGCCTCTTTCTATCGTCTTCACGTACTTTCCCACCCAATGGCATACTATCAGTAAAGTGGGAAATGTGCACTTTGCTTCCTCATCCAAGCCATTAATATGGATTGCAAACATCAGAGACCACAGAACTGATCCTTGCAATACTCTGTGGTTAAACCTTGTCAAGCTGAAATACCCTGCTTATTCCTACTTCATTTTTTTTGTCTGTCAACTGATCCTCAATCCACAGTAACAAATTATCCTTAATCCGAGGAGTTCCACTTTTGTGTATTAGCCTCTTCTGTGACATCTTACTGAAAAGTTTTGTATATCAAGACTCTACTCATTCCCCCCAATTCATCCTACTCATTACATCCCCCCAAAAAACTGATTTCTCTAATACAATTCCCTTTTCATGAATTCCCACTCACACTATTTTATTAAATGATAATTTTCCAAGTGTCTGGTTACCATATCCGCAATATTAAATTCCAGCATTTGCCTGCTACTGCTAATGGATTTACACTTTCCCATCTTCTCTTCTCATCCTTTCTTAATTAACAAGATTATGTTTGCTGTTGCCTGATCATTGGGAACTGTTCTTAAATCAGAGGAATTCACAGCAATCAGCTCATAATGAGGGTGAAATTCCATTAGAATTTTTTTTTATGATTCATTTTGTGGGATGTGGGTGTCGCTGGCTGGCCAGCATTTCTTGCCCATCCCTAGTTGCCCTTGAGAAGGTGGTGGTGAGCTGCCTTCTTGAACCGCTGCAGTCCTCCTGCTGTGGGTTGACCCACAATGTCCTTAGGGAGGGAATTCCAGGATTTTGTCCCATCGACAGTGAAGAAATGGTGGTATATTTCCAAGTCAGGATGGTGAGTGGCTTGGAGGGGAACTTGGATGTGGTGGTGTTCCCGTATGTCTGATGCCCTTGACCTTCCAGGTGGAAGTGGTCGTGGGGCAAAGCAATACAGCAGGTGCATTGAGGTGGCTTAGCAGGGTGGGAGGGGTGGCGCTGCAAAGTCCATTCCCCATACTCTAACCGACTATACCCTAGACCCTTCCCCCTACTGTCACTCAAGCTTTGGTCCTGCCTCCAGTGTTTCTAATTGGAAATAGTGTTGAGGGACATAGATACAGACTTCCATCCAAAGCATTTTGGCTGTTGTAGTAACCATGTGCCAACAATGTCACTGATGCTTCACTATTAGATTTTGGATGTTCATAATTAATAAACTATTTATTTAATAAAACGTGCTAGCATTATATCGTTTTTGTGAAGTTGAAGGCAAAGTGAAAAGAGGAGCTTAAAAGCAATTCTAAGGTTCAACACACAAAGCACATGTAATTGTTTTGTCTAAATCTTCAACTATTTGGTAAAGAGTTGAAAAGCAGCAACTTACCTGCATCTTTTCAATCATTTCAAAGAAGTCAGTGTTCTGAAAAGAAAAAGAATATAATTAGTCTGAGCAAACAGGAAAATCAGACTGCCTGCACCTAGGACACATTTAGAAAACAGTATTTTCACAGCAGAATTTGGAACGATGGGAATCTGGATCAAGCAAACAGATCATGCAGCAGGAAAACCTGGAATAACACAATTCAGGCAACTTCACCTGTGTAAAAACCGAAAGAACTGCAGATGCTGTAAATCAGAGGCAAAAACAGAAATTGCTGGAAAAGCTCAGCAGGTCTGGCAGCATCTGTGGAGAGAAATCAGAGTTAACGTTTCGGGTTGAGTGAACTTTCCTTAGTTCTGAGGAAGGGTCATTTGATCTGAAATGTTAACTGTGATTTCTCTCCACAGATGCTGCCAGACCTGTTGAGCTTTTCCAGCAACTTCTACTTTTATCTCCAATTCATCTGTCTGCCTTATTCAGCAATCTTGAGCAAGGAAGAGACAGTAATTATCTTGAAATATGTTTTGCTATATTTAACCCAGAAACTGTGTTATTAGAAATATTTCAGTAAACTTTTGTGCTGCTTCATAGCTACAAACGTTATGAACTGTCCTCTTAACAGTCCAGACTTCTTTTAAACTCCTTCTCTGGTACAATGTTTTCAATGATTGTCAGTACATCTCTCAGCAACTGATGACTCTTTCTCTGACTTAATCAAAGTTGGGCCTCACTCTGTTATCGCTTTATATCAATCACTTCCTTCATTCAATTGCCTACACACTGATCAGCTTCTTTCACACTTCTGCATTCCCATCACCATCGTTTCACAGTTCACTAACTGAATTACTACATCTTGGGCTCAATGAAGCAGGAATATTATCTTTATTTCTTCAAAAACAGGTTCTCGATGTCTCTCTTAAGTCCAACTTTTCACGTAGCCAGAGTCTACGATGATGGGACGGCTCCTGTCTGAACCCCTTATACTCCAGCAGGATCAGGAGCAGAGATCCTGTTCTGTCTCATGCTCACTACGAAACAGAATCTGTGAATGCAAAGCTAATGAAACCAGGGTATTTCTCCTGACCTCCAGGACTTCCCTCCTGACCACAGTCTGTAAAAGGGTGTGTAAGGAGTCACCGTTAGATGGGAATGGAACCAGGTTGGTTTGGGAGGCTGGTGATGTTGTATAATCTGGCACCAATGATTCAGCTGTTCAGAGATGATAAACTGTCTTTTGGATGAGATACATTGGTGATTAAATCCCGTGGAGACAGGTGGAGAAGAGATTCCTGCAACTGTACAAGGTGCTGGTGAGACCATACCTGGAGTACTGAGGGCAGTTCTGGTCCACCTGTTTAGGGAAAGGTAATTCATTGGAGGCGGTTCAGAGAAGGATCACTGGTATGGAGGGATTATTTTATGAGCAAAAGCCAAACAGGTTGGGACTCTACTCACTGAAGTTTAGAAGAATGAGAAGTGATCTCGTTGAAACATATCGGATTCTTAAGGGGCTTGACAGTAAATGCTGAGAGGATGTTTCCCCTCATGGGAATGTCTAGGACCAGAGGGCACAGTCTCAGAATAAAGGGTGTCAATTTAGACTGAGATAAGGAGGAAAGTCTCCTCTCAGAGGGTTGAGAGTCTTTGGAACTCGTTGCCACAGAGAGCTGTGGGGGCAGAGTCCTTGTATATAGTTAAGGCTGAGACAGAGAGATTCTAGATCAGTCGGGGAAATGTGGGTTACAGGGAAAGGGAAGGAAAGTGGGAACGAGGACTATTGGATCAGCAATGATCCTATTGTACAGTGGAACAGGTTTGAGGGGTTGAATGGCCTACTGTTCCTGTTTCTTATGGCGATCAGGAACTGGTAGAACATCAACGGAAGAAGAAAACAACAGAGATAGCTAAAAGAGGAAAACTGATCTGTCGTAAGAGATAACCAGGTGTAGAGCTGGATGAACATAGCAGGCTAAGCAGCCTTCAGAGAAAGGGTCTAGGCCCGAAACGTCAGCTTCCTGCTCCTACGATGCTGCTTGGCCTGCTGTGTTCATCTAGCTCTACACCTTGTTATCTCAGATTCTCCAGCATCTGCAGTTCCTACTATCTCTGAAACTGATCTGTCGCACCGCCGGCAACAGGCAGCCGAGAGATTATCTGGATTCTGGTTCCAACCCACTGCTCTGGAGTTCCCGCCCATACTCCACCCGCTCCAGTCCCCTCCCGCACTCCACCCGCTCCGGTCCGCACTCCACCCGCTCCAGTCGCCACACTCCACCCGCTCCGGTCCCCGCACTCCACCCGCTCCGGTCCCCTCCCGCACTCCACCCACTCTGGTCGCCTCCCGCACTCCACCCGCTCCGGTCCCCGCACTCCACCCACTCTGGTCCCCTCCCGCACTCCACCCGCTCCGGTCCCCTTCCACACTCCACCCGCTCCGGTCCCCGCACTCCACCCGCTCCAGTCCCCTCCCACACTCCACCCGCTCCAGT